TACTATATCCAAAATGTTGATTTATAGTGATAATTTATTCAAAATATCGAATCTAACTATTTCTGTCCAGGGGGATATATTACTGTCTCTCAGGTCGATTCTGTCACGCTTTACGATCGTGTCAGATAGAATGAACCATAAAAAGGAGTCAGTCAACAAGACAATATTTAGAAAAAAAGAGGATAACACACAAGAAAACCAATCATATGAACCTGTTGAAACTCTCTAGGGTCTGGACCAGGAAGCGATAAGTTAAAATTTCTGGTGCCTGGACCAGAATCGGTACCCAATGTTTTAAACATTCCGTGGTTCGGATCCGGACTCCATATGTTGAAGTTTCTGGGACCTGTACCCGATTTATAGAAATTTTTTAGACACAGATGTGTACTAATAACATTTTGAATAAAATTTTCTTATTGGAATTCGAAAGTAGCTTCCATGATGAAGGATATTGTTGCTGTGCTATTTGTATTCGACGACTAACACACATAAAATGGCCATGTTAAGGGTCCTCGACCAAAGATTTTTAGTCCCGATTTAGTCCCAATCAATATGAAGTTTTAGACCTGGATCCGAGCAGTATATTGGTTCAGACTCGGATCTGAGTTCGAGTAGTCCCCTACGATCTGTAAAGTGTACACAAAATAGGAAAAAGCCCATGTACGCAGTATGGAAACGTATTGGATAAAAATCTTAACAAATGGAAGAGTCGATAGCTCTACGAATTGAACTTGTTTTTCAGCTTGAATATGGTTTTATGACATATTTTCATTCTTACCGGTTTGCAAACAGCTCATTTACTACAGTGGATCATCGCCAATAACGACAATTATATAAATACTAGAAAAGCTGAAGAATGATACAAACTTTATTGTTATTTATTAGGAATATCAGGCAAACATTCAGTTCTTGATTAAGCTACTAATTGACACATGTTTAGTCAGTTTCACAACATTATATTGATTAGTTCATCTTTGGAAATATTGTAAAATCTTGTTTTTTAATGCCGACACCACCTGAACATGGTGAATGGTAATTTGATGTTTTGTTGCAAACTTGTTCAGGTTGTAGACACATAAAGCAAAATTGATGTTTGCAATGTGGGCATCCATGATATTTGCATGCTTCACCATAACCACCAGGTTGAAAACAACTTGGACATACACGACGATCAGGAACTCTTAACTGGTTATTTGCTTGCAGTGGTACTAATTCATATTCTAACTGTTGTTCATAAGTACAATCAGGATCTTTACATGTGTATTGTGAATTTGTCATTGTGCTGCTATTCCATGTACGATTGCAAAAGAAACACATCACACGTGTACAATTTGTACATGTCTGTTGTGAAAACAACGTTTCATTGAATAACAGTGCACCACAATAACATATTTGACAGTCAATACATTTAACCATATCCCGTACTTCATGTAATGTTGTCCACAGTTCAATAAACACCGGAGTTTTAAATATAGTTTTATAATCTTTACATGTTTCACACGGTGTTGATGATGCTGCTGTAGTCCTATATTGTGCTAAACATCTCAATTCAAAATTAGTATTTTTCAAATAACTACCAAAACAATCATCACATATAGATGTTAGTTTTGATCCATTTTGGGTATGTGCAGAATCTGTTTTCGCACAGATAACTGTACATAATCCTGGACATAGACAGCATGAACATACAGCTGATACTCTACTGATTTTTGCTAGTTCATTTGGTAATTGTTGTAATACTCTTTCCTTCAACAATGATACTTCCACAAACGCTCCACCTCCCGTTGCACGTTGTAATAATAAAATTTCAATATTGCCTTGTAACAATTCTTGTTTTTGACGTTCAAATATGGATGCATTGTCTAGACATAGTTGTTTATCTTTAACGACCAGACGATATTGATCTGTATTTCCAAAATTATTTGTGATATTTCTGTGTAATTCATTCATCGTAAATGTTTTACTTAGATTAACATTAATTGTTTTATTATCCTTCAACGATTTAAATGTTATGCTTGTCATTATTATTGATCTCGTGGATTATTTTAGACGCTATAGAAGACAGCAATCTGAAAGCAGAAATGATGATGAAAATTTCAATTTAAGAAAAAAAGCAGTCTTATTATACTTCCACTTTAAGGCTCTCAACAAATCTGTGGATTAAAGTTTAATTTTTACTTTAGTATAAGAATAAAGTAGTAAAAAAAGAAAAGAAGATCGTGAAAGTTTGTTGGAGCAAAATATTAACGCTTGTAAAGAAGCAATTAAATAGTTGACATGACAAAAGTTTTCTTTCATTTGTCTTTAATAGTGTTTGTTCAACTGAGAATGCCACGAATTAATTACTACTGGTTAGTACCAAGACCACCAGGCATTCGTTGCATTGTCCATATATGACACTGATCTTTAATAAATTTTTTCCTTTCGTTAAACTGTGCTTTATCATGCGCAGCCAGATTTTTTTTACTTGCGATAAATGATAGTGTTTGACAACAATTTTTACCATATAGTGCTTCACTTGCTTTTACAAAATCTTCGTAGGTAAAATTAGTCGGTAATTGTGTTGGTTGTTTATCGGTATTATTGAGTTTAAAAAATACATTAATCATAGACATTGCAAAGTGTAATGGAAGGTATTTCTAAAACAATAATAGAAATGCTACAGACCTGATATAGTGACTAAGAAAAATGAAACGTTAAACGAACTTCTCATTCACTACATACCCCCCACTGGAACCTTTTTTGTCTGATCACAAAATTAGTAAGACTATAGGAATCCTAGCTACAAAAGGTAAAGTGTTTGTTTAACTATTTCACAATTCTCATATTCTCATTCTAACTAAATTCTAAGAGTACCTCGAATGTCAGTAAATTGTAAATCTCTTCTCAATAAACAGTTCGTGCTCTTAGAGTTGTAGGACCAAAAACCCATTCTCTCCTTCGGAAGTTTCCAATGCAGTCACTGTAATTTTTCTGCTATTTAAAGCCACGATGTTAACTTTTATTTCTATCGCTTTCATGTGTGTTGTGCAATTTTAACTTGGACAAAACTTACATAATGAATCGCTTCTTTTCTTATTTTTCTTCAGCCACAAGGTAATGCAAAAAAAAAATGAGTGAACAGATTTCGTTTGTTGCGGCGTGTAAATATAAAAGAAATTGATATTCTTTTTAACGGCCTTTTAAATGTTGGTCATAAGTTAAAAGCAAGAGAAAAATAGCGTTTTATAATAGCCATTATCAAACCATGGAAGCACTCTCTCTTCTTTCTTCTTTTTTCACGAGATTGATAAATACAATCACGACCTTTGTTGTGTAACTCTATGTTGAAAAAGCTGGTTAAAAATTTTTTTTTTCCTAAGTCAATATTACATTCAACTTCTTATTTGTTACTAATGCAAACGAAAGAGTGGGAAAAACTTTTTAAATTGCAGTGTTCGTCATTGTGACTATGAAAAGAAGCATCTTTTGAAAAGAGCAAAAAAAAATCATACAAACAAACAATAAGCTGCAAACAAAAATCCATCGAGAATATATAATTAAAAAATAATAATTTTAATCGGTATTTTTCCACATCCATCTCACAACCATAATGGCTGTTACTTTTATCAATCTTGTGGAATAAAAGAAGAAGGAGAGAGAGGGAAGATTTTCATGGTTTGATAAGGGTCATCAAAAAATATGTTATTTTTCTCTTGTTTTTAACTTATCATCAACATTTACAAGGCCGTTAAAAAGAATACAATTTTCTTTTATGTTGACTCACTACAACAAACGAAATCTGTTCTGCATTTTTTTGTATTAGCTTGTGACTGAAGAAAAATAAGAAAAGAAGCGATTCATCGTGCAAGTTTTGTCCACGTTAAAATTGCACAACAGTCATGAGAAGTGCATGACATGTAAAAATTCAAAGAATCAAAACTGGTTGTCATCGGTCCCGTTTATGTAAGTTTCCTTATAGTATTGCAAAAGATCACATAAAAGAGCGAAAAGCTTTGAGCTGAACATTTTGCGTGTTTCATATTTTTTTCAGAACATATTGCCAATCATTGAAGCTGACGATGTGTACATAGATAATTTCAGTTTTTCGTCGCTTAAACTTACTTTTTCTACTGATTTTTGTGTCCCTACAGAAACAGTAAAACTGAACGCATACATCTGACGCAGATTTAAGATAAATAAACGTTATATCCAGTCTGTAGGTTTAGTTCTAGCATATTGCATGGGCACAACTTTTCATACCCACACTCACTTCTTGATGGCCGCGCCCGGCCCTACTCATATCATTCAAACTCTCATCCTGCCCGTACCCTTAGCATTCATATTCGTACTTAACCCGTACTGATAGTTCACAACACAACTGCGGATAGCCTAGGCTAAGTCCAACTCAGCTCGTGTAGTGGGAATTTTGAAAATACACCCAGTTCCGTAATGTTGAACATTTCAGAGTCAGTACTTGGAATTCCCGGATTCGATTGCCACTTCACATGATAGCGCTAAAGGAAATCTATCGAGTTCTCGGAATTTCGGGAACTAATTCCGCGTGGAATTCCTCCGAATTCCTTCTGATGCTGGAATTACGGTTTCTTGAGGGAAGCTATTTAGATTATGTTCTGATGAATTAACCTGATTCTGTCACGAATTTCGAAAGTTTATACAACTACGAATCACATGGAATTTCGTACCGAAATCAATTCCAGAAATTCTGGAATTTCGTTTAATTTCGTTTAATAGTCTGAGCTTGACTGATGATCGAGTTTTTTGAACTCCGAAAATTGTTTTCGGGTCAGAATCGATTCCAAAATATTCAAATTTGTGGAATAGGATGGCTGCTCAAAATTTCTGAAACGAAACCTATGGTGTGGGCTGAGCGGATGGGTTTTTATGATGAGTGCCTATGAGTTACGAGCTTTGGCTCATGAGTCAAGTCCCGTCCATGAACTGATTTTCTAATCAAAGTTGACTTTTTCAAAATGGTTTCTTTTTGAAACATTGGGCAAAATTTGTCATTTTCACGGACTAAATTTGCGCTTTATTCCGCTTAGCGGCTTGTCCGTAGGTAACGCACTCACGTTTTGTCAACTTTCGATCCGATTTTTTTAGCAACAACAAAGCATAGGGTCTTGAAACTTGGAGGATATATGTATGTTATGAAACACTTTAACATGTATGAGTTTCATGCAAATCGATTTTACGGT